AGATAAGAAAGTTAAAATGTTATTAAATAAAAATAGGAACAATTTATTGAGTACCTTTAATAAACCAACCCAGCAATTTGTGAGTGATTGCTTAGTACTGAAAGGTGGTGTGACTTTGTGGAAAGTGCACAGGCTTTGGAATCAGAACTGAGTTCAAAGCCCATCTCTGTAGCTTACTAACTCTACAAACACTGGGAAAGTCACTTAACTTTCCTGATTCTTGGTTTTTATAGGAATAAATTAAATATTGAATGTAAAGTATATGAACACATTTAATAAATAAAAGCTATTATTATGAATTCCACCATTTAACAACCCGAACTGTTAAGTACTTTTATTAACCCATCTTAGAGAATAGTTTAGAGAAGTAAAAAGACAGAATCAAGGTCATGCAGAAAATCAAGAGAGAGGCTAGAAAAGGATCTAGGTATACATGAAAACTTGGTATAAAATAAAAGTGTCAATTTGATCAGTAAGGAGAGGATGACCTTGTAAAAGTACTAGAAACCTGGCCTTCATATGAAAAAAATATATATATCATACACAAAAATAAAACTACAGTAAATACTTGAAGGTGGAAAATCATTAAAATATTAAAAGAAAATATATGCAAATATCTTATAACCTCAGGTTTCTAAAAAAGTTTAAATGATATAAAAGCAGAAATTATAAAACAAAATTTATTCACTCAAAATATTAGTTTTGTTCAACAAGTCATAAATAAAGATAAAACACAAGCAAGAAACAGAGAATTTATTTGCATTATAAATATCAAAGAATGAGCATCCAAAATATATAAAGAAATCCCATAGCTCTACGAGAGAAAGACAAAAACACCAATAAAAAAAAAAAAGCAAAGAAAATTAACAAGAATTTCAGACAAAGAATTCTGAAAGGCCAAAAAAACATATGAGAAGTTGCTAAATCTCAAAAGTAATCCAGGAAATCCCAAATTAAATCAATAACGAGATACCATTTTTCATCTATCTCACTAACAAAAAAAATTAGTTGAAGGACATCATGTTTTGGCAAAAACGTAGAGAAATGGAACTGCTCATATACTTGTAAGAGAAAGTAAACTGATAAAATACTATGGTAAGCAATGTCACAATATCTAGTAAAGTAGATGTTTCATACTTTATGAACCAGCAATCCCAATATTATACATACTGCCATGAAAAATTGTCACACATATGCATATTGTTTATAATGGGAAAAAAATAGAAATGATCTAAGAAGGTTAAGGGAAAAATAGGTTGTAATTTATTCATAGAATAATTATCAAAAGTTAAAATAAGTAAAGATACAGATATATTGATAATCCCAAACATAATTTTGAAGTAAAAAAACAGACTGTACAAGATGTACAGTATGACAAGATTCATGAAAAAAGAGCAGACAGAATATTTATTATTCAGCATTGAATTCATAAGCACATGAAAATATTAAGAATATACTTGCAAGATAAAGTAAATTCAGGATAGTCATTATGTGTGTTGTTTAGGAGGGGGGAAGAGAAAAGAGAAGGCTCATATACATGGGGATGATAGGCAAAGGAGACATAAATTTTTTTTGTACTACTTTACTCTATTTAAAAAGAAAAATAATTAGCCTACAGGGAAGTACAAATTAAGTGCAGATTAAAACCAAAATGAGATGTCATATTATAGCCACTAAGATAGTCAAAATAAAAAAAAGACAATAGCAAATAGTAAGGATGCAGAGAAATAGGAATCCTCACACACTTCCAGTAGCAATGTAAAATGGTACAAACATTTTTTTTAAATTGCAGATACTTGAAATGTTAAACATAAAGTTCTTAGATAATGAAGCAATTACACTCCTATATATATAACCATGAAAACTGAAAACATATTCCCACAAAAAAAGCTTGTACACGAGTGTTCATAGTAGCATTGCTCATAATAGCCCAAATGAGGATATATCTCAAGTTTCTATCAAACTATGAATGGATAAACAAAATGTCATATAGCTATATAATGGACTATCACTCAGAAATAAACAGCAATGAAGTACTAATATATGCTACAACATGGATGAACCTAAAATCATCATGATATGTGAAAGGAGCTCTTCTCATGCATGGTATGATTCCATTTACAGGAAATATCCATAAAAGTGAACTCCATAAAGATAGAAAGTAGTTTATTGGTTGCCTGGAGTTCGGGGAGGGAACAGAATAAATGTAAATGATATGAGAAATTATATTTAAGAGAAATAAATGTTTTACTACTACATTATGGTAATGGATGCATAACTTACTAAATTTACTTAAGTGTGGATTCTATTATATGTAAATTACACGTTAAAAAAAAGAATGAGGAGAACTTCTGGTCAGGATGGTAGAGTAGGTAATCGCTGTGCTCATCTCTTCCTACGACCACATCAAAATTACAACTAAATTGAAGAACAACTGCTCCTGAGAACAACCTGAATAGTGGATGAACATAAGTCCTGTAAGTAAGGACATATAGAAGAAGCCACCTGGGGACTGATAGGAGGGGTGGGGAGCTGAAATAGCTTTGTCGCACACCTAGGTATAGTGGTTAAGAATTGGGAGGGATATCTGGGCTGTGGAGTTCCCCACTGAAGAGGGAGGACTCGCAGCCCCACACCAGACTCCCCAGCCCAGAGAACCAGTGCTAGGGGGAAGAGTCACCACGACATCTGGATGTGAAAAACAGAAACTCAGCTCAGATGAGATGCAAGGCCCTGAGCACAGACTCGCTCGCACTCACCCTAACCTCCAGAAAAGGGACAGCAGCTCAAAAATTGGGAAGGACATATGTGGAGAAACTGAATTGTCTGCCTTCAGAGTAAGGGCTGGGGGGCACCTCTTTCCAGGACAAAGTGCTAGGAGGCACCATTGTTTATGTGTTGAGCCCTCCACCCCATGCACAGCCTGCAGGTATAGGCAGATGATGAATCTGAGTCTCCATTAACCTGGCTAACACCACTCTGGCACCACCCTGGTGAGTCTCTGAGACCCTGATCCACTCAGTCCATGCACCTGGCCTAAACCTCTTTCAGAGGCTAATCCACACAAGTGGCCAGCCTGGGCCCATGCTGCAGTATTTCCTAGAATCTATCAAAGGTCTACGAAATCAAAACAAAGAGCAGCTGGCTTCATGCTTCATACCTCTTATTAAGTGGCCCCAAGCATGGCACTAGTGGCAGCCAGCCTCAGTTCATAGTATAACCAATCCCAGGTGCTTCCAACCCCAACACAGGCAGCTATCAACCACAGACCACTTTGCAGATCCCGTCTGGTAGCCCCAGGCCAGACAGAGGCAGTGGCTGATCTTGGCCTTTACTGGGGCCCCTCCAAAGAGGCTCCAGAACCAACACACAAGCTGGCTGGCTTCAGATGACAGCAGAGCACCACCCAATTAGTACCACAAATGATACACCCAAAACAGTGTACTTGGCAGGTACCAGAGCCCCGCTAAAACAAATCCTGCTCCAGAGGGTCAGCTCCCATGCCACAGCTTGTCTGCTGTTATCACAGCCAGTACTCAGTCAGCCTGAGGGTCAATCTTACCCACTGCAGGGGCAACAGCAATCAAGGCTCAACTGCAACAGGAGGGCACAAACAACCCACACAAGGGACACATCTGGAACACCCAGCTCAGGTAAACGGGAGACTGCACCGCTGGGCCCCATAGGACACCTACTACATAAGCTCATGCTTCCAGGACCAGGAGACATAGCAGATCTACCTAATACGTAGGAAAAAAAAAACACAGAGAGGCAAGCAAAATGAGGAGATAAACATGTTCAAAATTAAAGAAAAGGTCAAAACTCCAGAAAAAAGACTAAACAAAATGGAGGCAAGAGATCTAACACCAGTTATAAGGATGCAATATGACCTCAGTGAGAATTCAACAAAAAGATATGAAACATAAAAAATGAAATAGAGAAGTTCTAGTCAAGATGGTGGAGTAGGTAAATGTTGCATTTGCCGCTTCCCATGACCACATTAAAATTGCAACTAAATTATAGAACAATCAATCTGGAGAATTATCTGAAGACTAGCTGAACAGAATGCCTATAATTAAGGATATAAAGAAGAGGCCACACTGAGACCCTTAGTAGGGGCAGAGACACAAAACGGGCTGACTCCAAACCCATGAGAATTGGGAGGGCCATCTTGGGTGCAGAGGTACCCCCAGAGGAGCAAGTGGCCCCAGGCCCATACCTGGCTCCCCAGCCCCGGGTTCCAGTGCTAGGAAGAGGAGCCTCTACAACTTCTGGCTGTGAAAACCAGTGGGGATTCCAACGACCTGGGTGGGACAGAAGACTGCTGGAAACACAGATGTCTCCTTAAAGGGCCCACACGGAGACTTGCTCATTCATAGACACTTGCCCTGGGCTCTAGCAGAGGGACAGCAGCTCGGGAGGTGCCAGAAACATACGGGGAGAGACTTAGTTGTGTGGCTTCTGGGTATTAATCTGAAGGAACCCAAAATACCACTTCAAAGGGACACATGCAACTATATGTTCATAGCAGCATTATTTATAATAGCCAAGATAGGAAGGCAACCTGGGTGTCCATCAATGGATGAATGGATAAAGAAGAGGTGGTGCATACATACAATGAAGTATTACTCAGCCATAAAAATGAATGAAATCTTACCATCTGCAACAACAAGGAAACATAAAAATGGAGATAGAAAACAAAAAAAGAACCAGTCAGAAGTGAAGAATACAGTAATTGAAATGAAGACTATATTAGAGGGAATCAACAGTAGATTAAATGAAACAGGATCAAATCAGCAATTTATAAGATAAGGTAGCAGAAAACACTCAATCAGAACAGCAACAAGAAAAAAGAATCTAAAAAATTAAGAATACTTTAAGCAGCCTCTGGGACATTAAGCGTACCAACATTCGCATCACAGGGGCACTAGAAAAAGAAGAGAGAGAGCAAGAAAATGAAAAACGATTTGAAGAAATAATGATGGAAAA